CTTGCACATCATCTCATCAGCCTCCTCCATATGCATATGTGGTGTGTTCCGTACGCGTTATAGAGGCTGCCAATACAGCGACTCTGATAGAGTTGCTCAAAGTGAGAGAATTTACCCGGGTTGAAACTGATGCACCATAGACACAGTGTTTAATACTCCCTCCGTTTTCATGGTTTTAGTTCAAGTTCCGTTTCAAAAATAAGTAACAGAACTTGAACTAAAAGCACGACACTTATTTTGGAACGGAGGTAGTACTACTTGCCAATTACATTACATCTGTAAATATCAATCAGCAAACAAGCACCCCTAGAACTTCCGTTTTGCCGCTGCCGAAAAACAATAATATAGGTGTTCAGGCTTCAAACATCGAAGGTGACGGATCACTAAAGCAATCGTCAGGTTTGCCAAACAGCAGGCAGGGGGTAAAGATGACCCGCAAAAAACCCCCCCTAAGATATGTAGTTTACTGCAGGCATAGCATCAAATGAAAAGTAAACAGTGTCGGTGGAAAATGCATCTCCTGCTATCTGATTGTGAAGCTCTTGAGTATCACATCAACGATCATGAATTCATCGAGTCTGGGAGCTACTGCTGAAACAGAATTGGTCAGTACAGCAAGCTCGGGTTTTCGCCACAGACAAGAATGCTATGCCTGCAGACAAGAATGCAGGCGAAATTCACATTACCTGGGTGACTAGGCAAGGAGTGAGACTTCGAAACCCAGCTGAATTACCCAAACATCCTGGTGTTAGGCCCTGGGCGACTTCTCAATTAAAGCAAAATATTTAGGTGCCAGTTTGCTGTCAAAGAAAATGCAGAAGGATACTGGTGTTGCTGTTCAAAGTATTACTTTATGGGGAATCAATGAACCATGTATTTTCAACTTGTTCAGATGACTGCAATTGAGCGCCTTGCATTTCAACATTGTGTCACTGTCATACATATAATGCCAATGGCCCTTGAAAATCTGGTATGGAGGTTTACTGACTTGATTTTAATATAATCAGTGCTGCCAAACTGAAATAGCCATGCTCAGTCACATTTCTCAGACATACAAATATTGGCTATATTATCTGCTAAGAGGTCCACACATGCAACAAACACAAATTAGTGTAAATTGCTTACTGTTTGCGTTTGTAGTGCTTGTCACCGAAACCTGATGTGTCAGACCAACAAGAAACTGACACGATCCATCATCGCTCCTGCTCTGCTTTTAGCCAAGGATATTCTATATTGCATGTCAACACAGCATGCTTATTACAAGAGTGCTCCTATAAGCAGCATGTACAGTCTTTCTAACTAAATCACTGCCAAGTCTCGGACATCACTGTTCTAGGGAAGACCCTGCATACATATGTGACTGCATTCCATATTAAGCAACTTATGTTTTTTCGTCTTGTGGAATTGCGTCCATATGCTCTGATAGTAGAATGCCTCAAAATCACCGAATCACATCACATCTGGTCATCAAGTGCATTTGGTATCAAGGTTGCAAAGTTGAGGTCCTGACATCCAAATGTGCATGGACACTTCAAATCTTTGTTATCCATCACAAATGAATGCAACAGAAAAGCACGGATGCTCTACCAATAATCATTGCATGAACATTGGCCACCCTCGAAATGATGAAATCGGGTTCTGTCTCTTACAATCACTAATCGGTTATAAACACCAGAAAATACCTTCGTGAAATTGTGGCAATCTACACAAACACGGAGATTCTTTGCCAGTCGTATTGGTCTGCGTTGTGGCATCACAAGAAGTGCAAAAGCAATTGCTAGCTTCTCACTGTGATAGGTCAGGGCACATTCCTTCCCCTCTGAATCCAAATCATGCAACTCAGATGACACATTTGGAACATAACCAGCAATTCTTAAATGTCTGTTTATCTCATCAAGCTTCCTGTAAATCTCAGTCTTTCTTGGATGTGAATCATCGTCTGCAATAAATTCATGGAGCTCACCGTTAAGCTCTACTGTTGTGCAGCCAGGAGTAGTTTGGATTCCATTCTCCTTCATCAACTTCCTAACTTCCGCTACCTTTATCCAATCCCCAACTGACGCATAGGTATTTAACAGGAGAACATAATCTCCAGCTTGCTGCGCTTTCAGTTCAATTAGATGACTAATGACCTTCTCTCCAAGATCAACATGACCATGAACCCGGCATGCACCAAGAAGAGTTCGCCAAATCGTTGCATCAGGTGCAACCTTCATCTCTTCAACCACAAGGTGGTATGCCTCATCAAGTAACCCTGCACGGCCCATTAGATCAACAATGCACCCATAATGGCGAACATTTGGCATCATCTGATACTCACAGCGCATCATATCAAAAAACCTGAAACCCTCATCAACCAACCCGCTATGGCTGCATGCAGAGAGCACACCAGTAAAAGTCTGCGCATCAGGAGCAACACCTGATCTACCCATTTCCTCAAATGCCGAGATAGCATCCTCCCCGAAGCCATTTGCTGCGAATCCTGAGATCATCGCACTCCATGTGACCACACTCTTCCGAGGAGTCTCACAGAAAACCTGGTACGCCTTCTCCACACACCCGCACCTCGTGTACATCGTGATCAACGAGTTGCGCACCTTCAGCTCACCACCATAACCATGTTCCACCGCGTACTCCCAGATCTTCTCCCCGAAGTCGAGCGCGCCCAGGCTCGTGCATGCCTGGAGGAGTAGAATGCAGGTCACCTCATCTGGCCCCGCCCCACCCTCACCTTTCCTCATCTCATCGAACAGCCTCAGCGTATCCTTCGTCCTCTTATTCCTCGCATAGCAAGTGATCAGAACGTTCCACGCGACGGCGTCCCTGACAAGCATTTCGTCAAACACCTTACGTGCGCTGTCCCCGGCACCGCAGGTAGCGTAGGACCGCATCAACGAGGTGGCCAGGAGGGCGTCGCGGAGGTGGCCCTCGGCCACGACGTTGGCGTGCAGCTGGCGCGCGTGGGCGAGGGTGCGGCAGGGCTTGAGGACGATGGCCAGGGAGAAGGCGTTCCCGCGGCGCCCGAGGCCGCGCATGCGGCGGAGGAAGCCGAGGGCGTCGGGATCCGAGAGGGAGCGGAGGATGGAGTTGCAGCAGAAGGTGGAGGGGACGGAGGCCGGGGTGAGGTGGTGGTGGAGGACGGCGAGCGCGCGGAGGGGCGGGAGGGAGGCGGCCGCGAGGGAGAGGAACGCGGAGGCGGCGGCGGGTGCGAGGGGGAGGGCGCCCGTGCGGAGCAGGTGCGCGTGGAGCTGGAGGAGGCGGCGCGCGGGGAGAGGCGATGCCGAGGCGAGGAGCGCGGCGGCGGCGGCGGACGGGGAGGGGGAGGGGACGGGGCGGAGGGCGCGCGACAGACGCGGCGCCAGTGCCATGGGCGGCAGTGGCACGAGAGGGCGGGAGTGACGGCGTCGTTCAATTTTTGCGTCCACGGATAAATGAGAAATCATGGATTCGTATTTAAAGTTTGGACCCCGATAAATCCCGAACGTTCGGATTTTAAGCATGTCATTCCGAACATTTTTCATGAAAACTTCAACCGACGCGGGATGACAAACATGACAATTTTGCCAACCTCGTGTGAACTAAAGTTGCCATGAAAAAAGATCAGGTTGCCATGCTTAAAATTCGAACGTTCGAAATTTATCATTTTCGTAAAGTTTGTGGTTATTTATGTTGACACCATGATTTCGACAAAGTAAAAAACATTAGCTGTTTGGAGGATGGTGACGGGTTGTTTTTGTTTTATGAATGTGTATGATACTTTGATTTGTGTATGTAACTATGTATGTAAACTTGTCATTTGTGTATGACTGTATGATTTTGTCTAAGTTTTTTTTGTTTTTGATGATGCTAAGAGTAGCAAATGAACTAACTTTATAGTCATGATTTGCATGGGCTGAACATGCATGGCAAATAAATACCTGGTTGTTGCATTTTGATGTGTGATTGTATGGATGCAACCACATATTTTGTGTGTGATTATACTAACGAAAGAGGGAAAATATCTTTACACACACACACACACACACACACACACACACACACTGGTGCATGGATTAAAAGTATCTTTTAGCACTCTTTTGAATTTCAACGATTTTGTTCAATTGTGCTTGTACCATACGTCGTCTTGCACTGTGAAAGCACTGATGCACAACAAAAGTTGCTCCATTTGGCTTCAATCGATGTGATCTTGATTGGTTCCTTTCAAAAATATTTTTTTCTAAACAACAAAGGAAAAAACAAGTTTTCTTCTTTCTCGGATGGTTAACGTTAGAAAGACACGAGAAATATCGAAAACCCGGTGAAAACCATGTCAAAACCTTCTACTAAAAGTGGCCAAATATCGAGCCACCATCGGGCCCTATCCCAAGGTTCGGCAGGGACTTGTGGGTGGTTTCTGGGTGAAAGTTCTATTGGTTGGCGAGAGTCGATGCCGGAGACGACAACGCCTAGGGCATTGTTCTTCCTTCTTGAAGGCGTCTCAGACTCCAAGTAGCGGACATGTTGGCGGTGGAGGTCCACTTCAGGCGGCGGCACCTTTTTTGTTTTTATCTCTTTCTTTTTCCTTTTTTGTGGTCATTGTTGGGTTTTTAGATTGACTGTCCCTTAATCAATCAAGTTGTTGTGTGGTTTTGGTTTTCGGCCTGGTTTTACTTATAAACCAAGCCAACTATATTCTTCTTTATGAAATCGCAGGAACCCTACCCTCTTGATGAGGTATCGTAATAAACATTGATATACTAAATGATGACTACCATTATGTTCATTTAGCATACCAGTCAGAAGTTCGAATTTAGATTCAAATTCAAATTCAGACACATGCATGATACCACATCAGTTCTTTTCATTTTATCTCTTCATTCACCTCCAGCAAATCATCATCTACGTGCCTACCCGTTCCCATACACGCATGGGAGATCAATGGGAGCAAGCACTTCCAATCAGCGATACAATCAACCAACCAATGGGGCTGAACACAGGTTTTTTTCTCGCATAGGCGAGGCTCAGTTCTTGAGCTCCGGGAGCAGCAGCCCACCGGCGTGCATCTGCTTGTACATCCACTGCCAGTTCTCCGGCCTCACCTCCCCGCCGAGGGCCCTGACCACCGACCCGCCACTGCACACACCGACCTTGCAGCACTCCTCCAGGGGGAGCCCTTTCACCAACCCGTACAGGAACCCGCTCGCAAACAAGTCGCCCGCACCGGTGGCATCCACCGCGTTGCTCTCCCCGATGGCCGGCACCTGAACCACCTACATGCACAGATCATTTGGCTCAACTCTACAAGCTGAATCAGGCTCAACTACTGCTAGCATCTCTCTTTTGCTTCTAGGGAAATATACATGCTGGTTAGCATCGGCACTCTACTGCTTGGCTGTCAATGGGCAGAAGATAGGAAGAACATTGTTGATGCTTTTGATGCTTGACTCTCACCTGCTTGCCATGTTTTGCGATGCACCCCTTTGAAGCGAGAGTCACAACGGCCCATTTGCAGTGCTTGGACAAGAATGCAAGCGCATCCTCTGGATCATATGTCAGCCCTCCCCTGCACATATAGATGAATATCAGATGCATAAGAAATTAAGAATAAGGGAATGAAAGAAGGCCATGTACAGTTTGCTGCAGAAAGAAAGAAAACGAATTTGCTTTTCAGTTTGAATTTACCCCATCTATTTTTTCCCTACATAAATACAATGATTTATAATAGTAGAGAAAATCACCCTATGATCTCCCTAGCTTCATCCTCATTGGCGAAACAAAGGTCAATGTTGCCTGTCTCCAACAGGGCAATTAGTTGTGACTTATAGTCACGAACCATCTGCACGAATGAGATAAACCGAAGAAACTAAATCTGACTGTTTTTGCAAATTAAAATCAACTGAGCAATGGGCTCGTTAAAGATGTAGCCAAACCTCAAAACTAGCCAAATCTAATGATACCGAGAGACCTTCTTGTTTTGCAACCCTGATAGCCTCAATAATCTGAGCGAGGTTTTGTTGTGCATATCTCACAACCAGCCACTGCATCACATCAGTACCCAGTGATGAAAAAGATATCCAGGTTAGACATACATTTTACAGAATTTGCTTTCAGGGCAGCAATATATGAAGGAACATGCGTGCACAGATTGTAGAGGAAAAGGAAGCCACCTTGGAGCCTTGGAAGTCCTCCTTAGTGAACTCATTGGCCTGTCACATGGACAAATGTGAATCAAGATTAGGATTGTTAAGAGAAAATAGCTATATACTACTACTAACATTTAAGACTGAGTCAAACAACGGGTTACCTGGAGCTTGACTGCACTAGATAGGCATGGGCGCATGGTGCGATTGCCACTTGCATCAACCAAGCATGCACACTATAATGGTACTCTTTTCAGCCTTGTCCACTAAGTAGCAAAATAAGGGGAATAACATAAAGTTGGCTTTGGAATTTAGACTACCTGTGCAGTGTGCCCCTTTTTTGCCCTTAGTCTTGTGAGATCTACGCCACTAAAGCTCATGTTGTTGACAAACAAAATGCCCTGGTCATCATCTCCACGAGCTCCAATTATTCCAGTTGATATCCCAAAACCAGCTGAGAGACCCCGAACTGTGTTGGCAACACTACCACCAGCCATAGTTCTTACTGGAGAGGGGTCGTCATGGGAAGGAAGGATAAGGGCATTCACTTCATTCAGAATATGATCCAACTCCTCAAAAGATACCTGTGATCGCAATACAATTGTCAAGTAAATTCATGACATAACAAATGAATGTAAGGTTCACAATCCCCATATAGGAATGCCATATCAGTTACTCCCTCAGTCTCTTTTTAAATGTTTTTACACACAGCCAATCCACGACTCTTAAGAAATAGTGCATGATGTAGAGTCGTAAATAGGAAAAAAAAGGACAAATACACTGTTCTTCAGTCTATTTATTATAAGAAGTGAATGAATGTTGACTACAAACACTATATCTTCACTTTTCAATTTTCATTATCAAGTTTGCCTATAAACTGTTTTTCATGTGAAAGTGCTTTTGCGCTGCGGGATACTACTTCCTAAACCAATATGCTTTTCTCTTGGACTTGTACTAAAACAACAAGAAGGTTGTTGACAAGGTTTAATTTTTGCAGGGTAAATTTGACAAGGCTTCAGCAAGGTGAGTTGTAGAATCACCTAGCTCAGTCCCTCAGTAAGACAGGAGATGATTTGATAGGTGGAGTGAGTGTGATTAATACAAATTAGCCGTCTCAACTGAAACTTCAGGGGCATCATGTGTTAAAAGGCATAATAAAATCCCATAATTTAGAGAAAATACATATGTCAAAGTTAGCAAATTAAAGACGAAGATGGAATCTCAGAATCGTGAAATTATGGTTTCCTAATGAGTAAGTACCATATTCTAGAGAGGACAACAGGACTCGGCAGCTGCGCATTAAAATGTTCTGAATGTCTGCGTCTTAAAATGATGTATCAAGGTCATCAAAAGCAGACTCTGCTTCATTTCTCTCAAGAACCTCTTTTCTGTGTTCACAATTGAAACTGGAGTTGAAACATGAGAATGAGACACTATAACTATCGATATATTCTGACAAGATGTTGAGCCGGCAACTATATGTTGTGTAAAACGGAAGGTCAAGAACACTAGGCGATAGTGACAAGGGGAGGTCTGGTACAAAATATGTACCAACCCCAAGACCTAAATGAAATAACCTAGTCAGTGGACCAATCAGGTTGTACGACATGAAGCCTTGTTTGACAATTCCAGAAGTGTGCAGGCCAAACCATAAACAAGCCTTTCAACAATGAAAGCAACACAACACATAATGTATTGTGTATCTGAATCTACCCAAAGTAGTGCTTTACTATTTTTATTTGAATTCAATGCAGGGAAGACTACAGTGGTATGGGAGGGGGAGAATCTGCACTGAGCTAACCCCCAAAGCCAAAACTAGCAAGTCAAACGCTTTGAGGAATACTGAAGAATCTCTGACGCCCACATAACAAAGAAGGGCACAAAAATAACAAAGAGAATCACAAAAATGTACGGGGAAGCCCGCTGATTTTTAAGCAGGCGAACAGTTCAGTAAGATGAACTTTTTGACAGAGAAAAGGGGGAATTCTGCAATAGAGAGTGAAGGATATCACACGATATTGTTTCAGGGACAGGAGATCCAAATATCACATGGCCGGCAGCTAGGAACAGCAAGAAACGTATGGTGCGGCGCAGTTTTCTTCTGAGAGTGAGCAGAGTTCTTTTAGGCTGAACCCACGGGAGTTGCAGGAGCACATGGCGATTCACCGGCAGCTCAATAATTGGAGACAAAGCGGGGCGGCAGTCCGTCTCGGCGTACGTACTCTAGCGAGATGAATCACGGCGGTGTGCACAAAGCGTTGGGGAGAGGGAAGGGTCAGGGTGGACCTGCTGCGAGCCGCCGCGGTCGCCGGGGACGCGGTCGAGGAGGGACCAGTCGACGCGTGCGACGTGGTCGATCAGCGCCGACACCTGCAGCCCCACCACCGCCGGCGGGTCCGCCTTGCCAGCCTGGGGGGAGGGAGGAAGAAGCTGCTGCTGCTGCTGCTGCTCTGCCTCGGCGCCCATGGTTTCCTCTCCGGGGCTCCTTGGGTCCGCGGCCCTCCTCCCTCCGCGCCCACCGGCCTTGGTGGTGGGAAGGGTCGCCGCCGGCGTGTGAGTGGCGCTGTGCGGCGGGGGCGGTCGGAGTCTGTTGGAACCTGGAAGGAAAGATGGGTTCTCCCTGTTTTATATAGAGCAAGGAGGTGAGGACGAGGCTCGCGTGTCGCGTCACGATTAGACGGAGAAAATTAGATATTTGCCACATTCTTATTTCGAGCTCAAATGCACCTAATAATAAAAAAATGACCAATACCCTAAAAATGACAAATAAATTTAAGAAAAGACTTTTTTTTCGCAGCAAACATTGTTAAATGTTCTATGTGCCTGTAAATTTCCATGAAAAAACATTATTGATGCTCTGGGCAAAAAGAAATACTTCAAAAAGACTATTTTTGAAAGAATTTAATGCGCTGATTTTGTTAAAAAAATATTCCAAATCTCCATGAATGTGATTTCATCATGAAAATTTGCAGCCATACAAAAATATAAAAATGATTATTGTGTAAAAACAATATTCATGAATTTATTTATATTTTATTTATTTTATTATTCATAAGGGTGCATTTGAGTTCGGGGTTATTAGGATGACATTTTTCGTTTAGTAGGCTTCTTTGTATAACAAAATATTACTCCCTTCGATCCATAATAAGTGTCGCAGTTTTGAACTAAGATTAAACTAACCTTCGTTCAAAACCGTGACACTTATTTTGGATCAGAGGAAATAATAATTTGCAGCAAAGAGCATAAGGGCATGCATGCTTTGATACCATATTTGGTTTGCCAACATTTGGACAAAGCCAAAAATGTTGGCTATCAATTGATTGCTTACCAAGTTGCATTGCCCACCTCTAAATAAGTTCCCAATTGTCCACAAGTTTGGCAATTTAAAAAACATGACTTGCTAGGACATTGATTTGTGGGTTTTGTAGGCTACATTTTGTCTCATGATTTATAGATTTTCTGAGTACAACGTAGTCGCAAAACAGTTAATACTTGTAGCATTGGCTTTCATAGTGGACGGGAGAAAATGAGCGTTTGAGGACGATACAATATTAGGACAACAAGATGACTGGTGATTGAGATGAAAAAGTATGTGGTTGTTGGCAAGGTGACGAGTCCCCACGATATCGACAAAGGAGTGCCTAACATGCATCAACATGAGGTTGTTGGCGGTGACGACAAATCTGAGGAGGTGTGCGGTCTAGAGAGAAAGAAATGGCATGAGGAAGGTGAAGCGGAATGAGGGCGGGGTGGTATTATCGAAAATGTATTTATTCTTCAAAGTTTAATTGTGTTTTTACTTATAAAACTGATTGGCTTTGAGGACTAGCATACTAATAGCCATCATAAATCACTTCCCTCTCAAAAAGGCTATTTTCTAGGACTTAAGAAGATAAAAATCTAGAGAGAGAAAAACCAGGCAATATCAAAAGAAATGACCCAAAAGGAATGTGGAAGGGCGACCGAAGGTGCCAACCTGCACCACCCTTCTGTCGAGGATTTCCTAGTATCCCTTTTTCTTGTTAATTATGTGATTTTTCTTCATCATACAAAGAGCATGCCCGGAAAGAAGATGAGAAAAATAATCATTTCATATCTCTAGAGACTATTTCGGGGTGGGGGTGATTCTACATACATCTCCACCAAAACCATTGGTTCGCTGCTTCCATAAGGTGGATAGTCCATATCACAACTATAGGTTTGTAGTAGTAGCTAAGTATTTGTTGGGAAACGTAGTACAAAAAGGAAAAAAAATCACCCTACGATCAACCAGGAACACTATGAAGATGTGGTTTGGATTGGACCGTTACCAACTCCGAGTTGCAGTGGAAGAAGAGTCGGTGTGGATCATTCTTGAAGTCCCTCGAACCGTAGATGAACGACCCCTCCAACCGCCCATGAACAGTCCCTCGAACAGAAGACCGAAATCACGACCTCTCCACAGTTTGCAAGCGTACGGTCTTCGTGATCCGGCAGCGCTTCGCTGACCAAAGCTAACCATCGTCAGAGAATTAGAGGGAGGAGATTACAACCACATCGGGCTTCTAATTATGATTATTAGAGGATCTAGATCTAACTCTAATTGGAACATCTAGAACTAGACTTGAACTAGAGGAGGCTCCCATCAACCGCGAGAAGAAGTTCGACTACATCAACCGCGTTGTCAAACGCTTCCGTTTTCGATCTACGAGGGTACGTGGACACACTCTCCCCCTCTCGTTGATATGCATCTCCTAGATAGATCTTGCGTGGGCGTAGGAATTTTTTTGAAATTGCATGCTACGTTCCCCAACAGCATATATATCACTTCGATATTCTTAGGATCAAAATCCATTTGCTATATCAAAATATTAATCAATTGCCATTATAATCTGAACAGACTTTATCATAGCTATTGGTGAGGAAGTCTCATCATAACCAACTCCCTCAATTTGCGAAAAACACTTTCACAACTAGTCTTGTATTATAGATAGTAGGTTACCATGTGTGTCCATTTTTCTTTTGAAGATCCATTTACATTGTATGGGTATCACACCCTCTGGAGGTTCAACCAAGTTCCAAACTTGATTCTCGTATATGGAGTCCATTTCAGATTTCATGGATTTGGGTCATTCTTTTGATCTTGGCACCACCATCGCTTCCTCTGTAGTGCGAAGGTTTCATCTTCCTCTAAGATGAATATTTATTTATGAAATTTCTCAGGAGGTTCAACACCTCTTCCTGTCCTACACAGTTCGTTTACAACATTTACTGGAATTTCTACAATGATGTAGTAATTTCTGATTCAGTTGTGCGGACAACCTCCGAAACAAATTTCGGTTAGTTAGTCCATCTTATCTTTTGCTATAGGTTCAGTAATCTCATTAAGTTGTAGTGTCCTCCCACTTGCTTCTTTAACAAAAAAACTCCTTTTCAAGAAAGTTTCCATTCTTAGTGACAAACATTTTGTCATCAGACTTTTGTTAGAAGGAATAACCAATTGCAATTTGTGTTATCCTACAAAGTAACATTTGCCTACTTTTAGGGTCAAGATTATTTGGTTGTAAACATTTTACATAATTTTTCATAAACCCAAACTTTGAGATGAGACATATTGAGTTTCTTTCCATTCCATAACTCATATGGTGTCGACTCAACTGAATTTGACGATGCTCTGCGGGTTTGCCTGATCGACCCTACCAATGTATTAATCTACAAAAATGAAGATTGACATTCATCAATTTACCGGATCTATCCTCTTCTACTAACTTTACAAAACGGAAGGGGAAATGTGAAGACCAAAGATGTAAACTACTAAGCAGAGTCAATTGCAAATTGGCCGGTTGGTTTGCTTCTCTCCAAGTATGGGAGATTTTCCAATCTTCGAAAGATGCTAGTACTTTCTTGATCTTATGAAGAGTGCTCCTACTTTAGTTCATTATGATCACTTACTTCATGTTCTTCGGTAGTTGAGAGGCACATCCTCTCGCAGATTGCACTATGTGAAAGCTCTAATCAACTTTAGCTTCATGCTTAATCTGACTCAACTTGGGCGAGTGATCCTGTTGATCCTGTTGGTTGTCTCTTTCTTAGCACTTCTCTCATTGCATGTTTTTCTAAGAAACAAACATTTCTCGTTCTAGCGCCGAAGCTGAGATGGGTAGAGCGCACAAGTATTGGAAGGAAAGTTTCACCCTTCTTAAAAGAGAAATGGTCTGTATTGAACTATGATTTGAATTCCTTTCTTATTAGTTTCCAAGTGCAAAATGTTCACTGCCTTGATCAAAGCCTTTTTTGCGAGACCTTGATCAAAGCCTTTAAGCCTTCTTTTAGAAGCGAGCATTTCTGTGACTTCTATTTTACCTAAAGCTAATGAATCGAATGGAAGAGAAAAACTTTTAATAAATAATAAAGAAGGAACCAACAAGAAAATAAAGAATTGTTCCAACCTCGGCTCGGGGTCTGTCTACAAAGCTGAAAGTGATTCTAGATATCCCCCGAGAGTTTGCATAAGTAACCTCCTATCAGATCGATAATGTATCAGGATCAGACCCCCTCTTTGCTGTTTGCCAATCCAAGGTTGCAAAGCATCAGAAGAATTAGTTTGATAGGGAGCACATTTATGTTCAAATTGCACATAACATGACAAGAATTCTCTAAAAAACTGATAAAAGCAGACCAGTAATTTGTGAAACAATTCCATGATTATTGCTAAACTCATGACTTAGATATTCTCTACCATGATCTGATCATAGAAATATTATCTTTTGTCACAATGATTTTGAATTTCGTTATGAAATTCTTTGAACCTTTCAAAATTTCCATATCTATTCAAATTAGTAAGTTTACAAAGTATAGACATCCACTGCGCACCGGGTGATCTTCGGACTACATACATCACTATGTTTTATTCCCAATAATTTACTGGCCCCTTCATGATGATGTGAATGATTTCTTAGTCATTTACTCATTAGACAAGTCTCGTATGTGTCTAATGATTCAAGACCAAAAGATGTTGATACTCAATCTTTATGAAGTCTAGCATACATTTCATTCCGATGAGGCCAAGACGGTTGTGCCACATATAAGTGGTATTTATCAGTCTTTTTAAGATGTTTAGCATTAATGTAATACCTATTCTTCAAGATCCATAATGAATAAACCACCGATAATAAAGGTAAATCCAAAACATATTCTTACAAAAATTTGAATGCTGATAACCCACAAGTATAGGGGATCGCAACAGTTTTCGAGGGTAGAGTATTCAACCCAAATTTATTGATTCGACACAAGGGGAGCCAAAGAATATTCTCAGGTATTAACAATTGAGTTGTCAATTCAATCACACCTGAAAGACTTAATATCTGCAGCAAAGTATTTAGTAGAAAAATAATATGATAGTAGCGGTAACGGTAGAAAAAGTAACAGTAGCAGTTTTGTAGTAATTGTAAAAGTGGTAACGGAAAAGTAACTAAGCGGAGATCAAT